AATACACAGTGTTTCGGGGAATTCACCCCTCATCAGTTGAGCTTGAGTAGGCTGAGGAAGAATAATAATAATAATAATAAGAAAGGTTTGCTCCCCACACCGGAGCTCGCGCTATTCCGCCGACTTTACTTGACACTTGACTGACTCACGACTGCCATCCAGAGCACACGAGAAGTCCATCGAACCTTCGACTCGGCAAACCTGCAAGAAAGCACCACTCCCTGCTCAATACACAGTGTTTCGGGGAATTCACCCCTCATCAGTTGAGCTTGAGTAGGCTGAGGAAGATTGTGCCTGAAGAGCACCACTTATATAGTGCTCTCCAGGCACAAACATCACCAGGGATACAAACTTACAGAGACGCTCCGCTTCCAGCGCGACAAACACCTCGTCAAGTGTCAAGTAAAGTCGGCGGAATAGCGCGAGCTCCGGTGTGGGGAGCAAACCTTTCTTACAAAATCATCGCCGAAGTCGCAACCACTACTTCGTACTGTTGTGCCCAGCGCGGGCTGGCGACTAGTTGGTTTGGAGGTGACAGCGTTGCGAATGACCGAGGGTCCTCGACGTCTGTCTCACCGTCCAGGAGCGACACTGACTCACGCTGCTATCTGGTGTTCACGAGGTGTTTGTCGCGCTGGAAGCGGAGCGTCTCTGTAAGTTTGTATCCCTGGTGATGTTTGTGCCTGGAGAGCACTATATAAGTGGTGCTCTTCAGGCACAATCTTCCTCAGCCTACTCAAGCTCAACTGATGAGGGGTGAATTCCCCGAAACACTGTGTATTGAGCAGGGAGTGGTGCTTTCTTGCAGGTTTGCCGAGTCGAAGGTTCGATGGACTTCTCGTGTGCTCTGGATGGCAGTCGTGAGTCAGTCAAGTGTCAAGTAAAGTCGGCGGAATAGCGCGAGCTCCGGTGTGGGGAGCAAACCTTTCTTACAAAATCATCGCCGAAGTCGCAACCACTACTTCGTAATAATAATAATAATAATAGTAAATAGTAAATAATAATAATAATAATAATAATAATAATAATAATAATAATAATAATAATAATAATAATCAACGCAATAAATAGAGTAAGCTGCGCACTCAGTACAAACACCATAAGCAAAACTTGTTTTCATGTAAATAAAGAAGCTTGTTCCTAAACGTTATCGTCGCCATCTCATCAGAGGATTACTGGCAAATCAGCAAAAGCTCTTAACTCAATATATATACGCACAATGCAAGTAATAATTTAGACCCTAACTAGCGCGATAAAATGAGAGCTGAAAGAAACATTACACCATTCAACGATATCAGGTGACAACAGATGCGATAAATTCACCACTAGAGTTATGCTGATGATTGCTTTTCTGTTTGGTCTCGTTCACGTAGTCAAAGGCATTTGCGTGTATTGGAGTCTATTTACATTTTTACCACCAAGCCGATTTTGTGTAGGCAGAAAAAGAATTTGTTTACGGTGATATTGTTTGTGAATTTAGATCAGTAGTTCTCGTTTGTGGTTGCATGGTAACTTTCTAGTGGTGAATTTATCGCATCTGTTGTCACCTGATATCGTTGAATGGTGTAATGTTTCTTTCAGCTCTCATTTTATCGCGCTAGTTAGGGTCTAAATTATTACTTGCATTGTGCGTATATATATTGAGTTAAGAGCTTTTGTTGATTTGCCAGTAATCCTCTGATGAGATGGCGACGAAAACGTTTAGGAACAAGCTTCTTTATTTACATGAAAACAAGTTTTGCTTATGGTGTTTGTACTGAGTGCGCAGCTTACTCTATTTATTGCGTTGATTACATTTTTATCTCCACGGAAGCTTTTTAATAATAATAATAGTAATAGTAATGGGGAGGGGAGGAGAAAAAATCACAAGTGAAAGAAGTCACCGAAGGTAACTGAATAGGTTACAGAATAGATCTGCGGGAAAAAGAACCCTGTTGAAAACCGAAAACGTAACTGACCGAAGGATTGACCATTGGTGACCAGATAAAAAAAGTGACCTATTTTGAATACTTGGACACTTTCGAGAGAGCGCAGAAATGGGCGTTGCAAGGTTCACAGCGCATCATGGGCGGTGTCTTGTTCCAGAGAATGGCACCAATGAACTGGATCGTACCTCGACCAGAAGGACCGGGCCAGAAGAGTACCTACAATAGATTTTGGTCAGCTCCACGGGTGCGATCACTCTGTGTTCTGGCGTAGTAATTCCTAAACAGGGCACTTGAACGGCCATGAATGCAGCGGCGAACGAACATTAGGATTTTCGCTGCCAGGGCGTCCTCGAGGGTAGGAAGACAGAGTCTCCCAAAGAGCCCTGCAGTGGAAGTCCATGGCGGAAAGCCAAAGAAGGCACGGATTGCAGCTTTCGTCATTCGAGTGAGGGCGTCCATGTTTCTGGCCATCAGAGACGGATAGATTGCATTGGACGCGTATGTTAGTCTGGGCATGATCATTGCATGATAAAAATAACTTCTTCGAGGAGACTATCAAGCTTTGACGTGAGCGCCACAGCGCACGAATGGTGTGGTCGACGTGGCCATCCCAGTGGTTGATATACCTGATATAGGACATTACCAGTTGTTTCGGCCATGAACCATTCTTTTTGACCTTTGTGGTTACGCTCCGCCCTTGTGGTGTTGAAACCTGGGTATACCCACTTATGTAACATACATGTGGGATTATTTTACGTTTAGTACAGTATAGTATGATGCGGATACTACGTCGTGACTGCAATGTGGATTTAAAAAGAGAGAATGCGCGTTTCAGTTCGTGTTTCCCATGCGCTTAGAAGCGTAGTGCCCCTCTTACACCAGTGCACTGTTTGAATCTTGACTCGCAGCCGCACACGAGCATGTATTTTTTCATTAACCCGATCCGGAGGAGGCACTGCGCATACTTTGGCAGTAAGAAATCTGGCTTTCTTGCGTTAGACGACGACGCAGTCATTCCTATGGAGATGGAGAATCTGCCCGCAGCGCAGATCGCCGCCGCCACAAACCAGCAGCAGGTTCTGGTGGCAATGCACATCATCGCCCCGGAATTGGAACGAATGGAAACAGAGCGGCAAAGTAAACGCCTGTGGAGACGTGTGGGCTTATTCGGCGTGGGCGTGGCAGGTGGCATCATTGCCATTGTACTAATGAAGGCTTTTGGTATCAAGTACCGCTAACTATCAACGCTAACACGTTCGAATTTTATTTTCCAAACCATAGCATCAAAAGGATTTTAATAAAAGTTAAAAAAAACCCATGAAATCGAGGAGATAGGTAGCCGTCCGAGTCTACCAAGCAAGCACAGCAGGCAAGAGCATCATATCTCCGAGTGTCCTAACTTATAGTCGGGAGTCTCCGCCAGCTCAAGGGTGGGAGCCAACACCTTTCTTATAAAATTACCACAGACATTGTTAGTAGCAATATGTTACCATTATTTCGTAGAGGTCTCTTTGCTGCGAGTAATTATAGAACTTGCAGCAAGGAGACGCGGGCTGGCTTTGGTGATGATGTAGGCATTATTCAGTGCTACTACGAGTAAGTTGCTACAGTGGAGCTTGCGCTGCATAGGAAGAGCAGGTACATGAACTTAACATCGTTAGAAGGGGTTCTGGACTCCAGATCGTTTTGATGTGATGGTCGTTGGTCAGTGGACATCACTGAGTGGTGGACAAAGATTATCTGGATAACGTTATTGATGTGAACGTATAACACAGACACACAGACGCAGACACACATACACACACCATTGTCTTTCATAGTATTTACGAGTTGGGTATGTGAACATTGTAAAAAGAAAAGAAGAAAAAAGAACGCACCACTTTGATTCAGCCAGGGAAATGTAGCCAACACACACACACACACACATTCTCATAATAGGCATGTCCAGTGTGTGTCTGTTGGACAAGCCCGTGATATTCCCTGACCCAGGTATGCTTCGGTCATGATTTGTTTGAGAGTGCGCTGTAAGGACTTCGCCTAGGAGTGTGTGATATTGCCGTGACTCTATTGTCCAGTTCCAGCCGTATTTCACTCAGTGAATAGTGGCTGGGTTCCGTTCCTAGTGGTGCTTTTCCACTGGTTCAGTACTGGCATTTGATACATGTCCTCTGCCCAGTCACCTACACACACACAACCAGCTGATTACAGCCAATAGCATACGCGTTAGAAAACTCGAAAACTCTTTATTTCAGTATTACTCAAAGGCTATAGCGCCTATCTGGCGGATCTCTAACCAACGTTTCATGGGCCACTACTGCGACTGCATTGACTACGTCATGGGCACCGTGCAATCAAGAGCGGGATAATGCAATAGTACATGGTATGAAAAAGTAAAGTAAAGTAAATTATCGTATCCGTTCCCGAAGGGAACTCACGACGGCCGCTAACACCCGATAAACCCTAGCGGCAGATGCAGCGCCTAACGGTGGGGGTGAGTGGGTAAGTCTCACAACCACTGGCACAAGTGCCGAAAGCGACCCCATTAGCTGCATCCATGTACCCCTTGTGCCTGGCCACAAGTTCCCAGTTGACTGTGGGTAGCAGCACGGCTGGAAAAACCGCTCCCAGGCAGGACTTGAACCAGGTACCTCTCGTATCTCAATCATGGTCTTTGACCAACCCACTGTGCCTGCCTGGTCAACATGGTATGATCATGGTTGCATACAGCCTTACATGTTTACAGGAGTTACGAGCTGTAGATGTACGTACAACTCACACATTGTACTTCGACTAGTATAAGCACTTTACGAAATCACTACAACACCCCTTGACCAGCAGTACAACATTCTAGCTACACCGCAAAATCAAGCCTGCAGCCGCTCGGGCAAAATTTTACCTGCAAAAAGGCCGAAATTGGTTGGAAACGCTGTGGCGATTGCTGCCAGGCATCTGCAGCGCTGTGCATCCAGAAGAAGTCACCACACCGTCTGGGAGAACATAGCCCCTATTCCAAACACCTGTAAGACGGATTCCCCCAGGAGAAGTGGGCGTTCGCCCAATCGCCCGCCAAATATGGGAGGTGCTCCGTCGAATTACACCGAAGACGACATGGACTCACAGGCGCAGGCCAGAATGATACCTTGCCATGACAGGAGCAGCTCCGACGATCCCCGTGACACCAGTGCAAGAATGCTGTCTAGCACTGCTCTCGATCCAGCCACAGCCACGGGCAGCTCAGAAAGCCTCTTTCACACTGCCCTAGACTCGCTACCAACGCAGGGATACAGCCATTCCTCTTCGTCATCGACAGCGTCATCATCTTTATTTCACTCTGCTCTATCTTCAACTCCTGTGCCGGACATCGCTAGTATCAATAGCGGTGAATCTTGCGAGAACAGCGGCGGCGGCGGCAGCAGCACCACCACCACCAACAACAACAACAGCAGCAGCAGCAGCAGCAGCAGCAGCAGCAGCAGTAGCAGCAGCAGCAACAACAACGACAGCAGCAGCAGCTGCAGTAGCGACAGAGGCAGCAGTAGTAGATGCAGTAAACGCGGCAAGAGCTGCGGAAGTAGCGGCAACAACAGTGACAGCCGCTATAGCAGCACTAGCATTGTTCACACGTACCTGAAATCAACTGGGAGCACGAAAAATGCGGATAATTCAGTATCATCGTGTGGCGCCGTAGGCTCCCAACAGCAAGCTATCGGAAATCTTATTCCGTCAATATCGCCCCAGCCTAACACATCTGCTGATGACACTCCGCACACAGCGCAAAGCAAAAGCTCCGAGTCCGCAGAAGCAAGCACCAAGGCAGGATATATCCAGTCTTCTTCGGTGGATTCAACTGGGCCTTCGACAGCCGAGTCAACTGAGCTTTCATCGGCGGATTCAACCAGTCTTTCAACGCTGGATTCAAATGAGCTTTCGTCGGCGGATTCGATTGAGTCTTCGACGGCGGAGTCCACTGGGCCTTCGACGCCGGATCTCAATGAGTTTTCAGCGGCGGAGTCACCTGGGCCTTCCACAGTGGATTCAACGGAGCCTTCGACGGAGGAGTCACCTGCTGTACTGTCACCGAACGATATCGGCTTGGCCAACACGTTGTGCACAGCAGCTGGGTCGACTTCCAATAACCAGGCTTCAGACACGACGAACGCAAACTCCACACCGGGTCCTAATTCACCCACTGCTGGGCACGAAGTTTCTGAGTCCGCCTCGTGTCCATCCCTGGATGAATTTGTGCCTGCAGCAACTTCCACGCAGATAGGATTTTCTTCACTAGACCACTCAGCGGAGCTAAGCTCACTGTCTCCCGTCCATGGTGACGCTGACCCAGGCAGGCACACGCAGGCACAGAACACACAGTGTGTAGCAAATGGGGATAACAGTAACGCTGATAAGTCAGGCGTGAATACCAGTAACAGCTCAGCGAGCGACACCGGGTCTGCTAAGGACAAAGCAGCACAAGGCACCGTTCAACCGTCGTCACATGAACTGGCGAGCAGCTCTGACAGTAGCACTGGGGCGAGCAGCTCTGACAGTAGCACGGAGACGAGCAGCATGTTTCATACAGCACTCGACAGCCTGCCCGCCGCCGACACGTCTGGCAGCAGCGGCAGCAGCAACGCATCGTTCGTCACAGCTCTCACTTCACTCTCGGTTGACTCTATTGGACTGCCCGTGGGTGCATCAACGCAAACCTCCAGCGGATCAGCGGCGGTCGCGCCTTCCTCCGGTAGTAGTAGTAGTAGCCGAAGTAAAAGCAACAGTAGCAGCAGCGATGGTCCATCTGTCACCAACGCGCAATCGCAGAAATCCCCTGCTAAGCCCGCCCGTCCTAGCCCAGCCAAGCCAAGGGTAGGAGGTGGTGGCGATCAGGAGCCGTATCAGGTATTAACTCTTGAAGCAGATGCGAGCGTGATACTTACGGTTTCCGCCCCGCTAGCCAGCGTCACTATCATCGGCCAGCAACCAGGCCCGGGCAAGGAGGATGCTGCTTGTGATAGAACGGTGACATCGCCGAAATCACCAGGTCTCTGGGATACTGTAAAATCTGCGGTGAGTGGTGTTTTCCGGAAGAGCGGCAAACCAAAGCAAAGCGATAATGCATCGCAGCCGCCACAGAAAAAAGGGCTGAAGAAGGCAGCAAACGGCTGGCCGATTCTAGGTTGGCTAGTTCAGGCACTGCGGCCTCAAGGTACATCACGTAAGGAGGAGGCTGAAGCGAAGTCCAAAGGCACACCCCAGAAAAAGGACGCTGAAGTGAAAGGGAAAGGAACACGACACGAGAAGGAAGCTGAAGCGAACGGAAAGGGCACAACACAAATGGAAGCTGAAGGGAACGGAAATGACACACCACAGAAAACGGAAGCGGCGGCAAAGGAGAAAGGTGCAGCACATGAGGAGGAAGCTGAAGCGAACGGAAAGGGCGCATCACAACAAAAGGAAGTTGTAGCCAAAGGTATTTCGAAAAAAACAGTGGCCACAGCTGAAGTCAAGTCTGGTCGTCGCTTTTCGAGATATTATCGCGTCCTGCTTCTTTTCTTTGCCTATTTCGTCCTGCTGTTGTTACTGCAGCACTTCGTCTTGGGAGAGAGCATGGGACAGTATACACCATTGCATGCACTGCTCGCGACTATATTTGGATATCTGATCTCGAAATTCTAGTTGGGAACAGTCTATATTGAGTGTGCGTGTTAGTGACATTGCTAAATGGCCAGAGTGAAGGAAGAAAAACTCAACAGTAACTTATGCCTTCGGGATGTTTTACGGTGCAGGGTAAGAATCATTTGAAACGTTGTAAGATGCACGTCATACGTGTCGGGCGGACGCATGTAGGGGGTGAACTTCCCATTTTCACAAGCAATGGAAAATTGTGCAGTGAAGCGGGGATTGTATGAGGAGTTGGAAGTGAGATACGTGTGTATCTATCTATAGCCCTCGCAATTTACGCAAGTTCATGCTCGGACACAGCATAAAAATTATTATAAAGTCTAATAGTAATACATTCTCAACAAGCAGCTCATCCAAGGCCATCTTAATCCTTTTGTCATGGAGAATACACCCAAGCAGGGTGGCTGCAGGAGGGACATAGTATTATACTTCAGTAATTACCGGTATAACCTCTCTACTCCTTATACAATTCCCACTTCACTACACAATGTTTCATTACGTTAGTGAAGAAGTATGTGAAGTATGTATAATATTCAGTTCAGCTCTATGTTTAGTCCATGTTCTTCTTGCTTCACTTGTTGTCTCCCCTACACCACATTATCTTCTCAGTGTTATTTCGCATTGTTTTCCCTAATAAAAAAAACGCTTGGTGATTTTGTTGCCGCGTCACCGCCAACTGCCATCTTCTCAGATTTGTGTTGGGTTTCAGTTCCCGTTATGGCAACAAAGAATTGGATTGAGTCTTTTTCTTCAGATTCTTGGCGTTTTGTTCATTTTTTGTATTGAGATTTTGTGTCATAATATTATGTAAGCACATTTGCTTTGCCCGTACAAGAGGATTTATCCATTGTTTTCCCTACATGTTTCTCCAAGATGTTTCACCTAAATATTTCAATTTTATTCCTTTTTATCGATGAAAGTAAAGTGAGTGCACTCATACCACGAGAACAATGGAACAATATTTTAAGATTTGAACGTTGTTTTCATGTGATAATCATCAGAAATCGTCATCACACTGAGAGTTGGACTACAAAGGAAAGATATTTATGGTACCATAAAGTAAACAATAATTAGATCTGTTTGAAAAGGGTTTGATCTAAAACTTATACAAGAAATGCTAATATTCTAAGGCTAGCATTAAGGAAGGCGTCATTACATGAGCAACGAGCAGTGTGAAAGTACATGTAAGTGTAGTTTGGAGAAATGCAGGCGAGAAAGGTACATGTACCACACCTTTGCCTGCCGAGTAATAATTCTGTGCTTCTTGTATTTTTTTCTGCTTCGTAGAACATGACTTATGCTGCAAAATACGTATAATATACGCTGAGTCCCGAGTGTTTACGGGAAATAAAAACCCGAGGCAAAAAAGGTTTTTTTGCCGAGGGTTTTTTCCCGTAAACACTCGGGCGAAGCTTGTAATTATTCTATTTAAATTATAGTATAAACAAATCCAGTCATTTTCCTAAAGAGTGGTTTTTTATAGCACCAGGTTTTTTACAGCACCAGGTTTTTTTATACAGTTTTTTCCCCTCCGTTTTTTTGCCTCGGGTTTTTTATTTCCCGTAAACACTCGGGACTCAGCTTATATTCTATTTAAATTATAGTATACAAATCCAGTCATTTTCCTAAAAAGTGGTTTTTTATAGCATCAGGTTTTTTACAGCACCAGGTTTTTTATACAGGTTTTTCACAGCTCCAGGTTTTTTATAGCACCAGGTTTTTATATGAGTGATTACCAGAAATATTAAGTGCTTTTTAGAACACGCAAATGACTGGAGGTTTTTTATACTATAATTTAAATGTATGTAAACTAGGCACCGGCGGATTATGCCGGCATTAATATTGGCATAATTTGGAGGTTGAAAATTTGGAGCATAATTTGGCATCCTTTCGGAGGTAGGAGCATACCTACATGATTGTACTTTGAAGTACATGTACCACGGTTCTAGTATGTAGGCTAGACAATTGTGTACAATGCACCTGATCAGTGCTGGTGGTCTGCATGGTAAAGGGTTTGGAGGTTATGCAGCTAGTGTCAATGAAAAGCAGGGTAGAAATCATGGCAAAACATTATTCAAACTCGTCTTCTTCAAAGGTCTTTCCCACACTGATACAATACATGTAGCAGAAGATGCGACTGAATCAGCCTTTATCAGGTATCCTGGGGTGAGATATTGTATTAGTGCCGGGTAGTCCGCAAAACTCCGCGTACATATACATTATGCTTGTTTACGAAGTCATGACCCCTGGATTTCAGCAGCCATGGCCATGATTAACTGCGAAGGCTATGGATATTGCTCTAAGAATAAAAAGAAAAGAGGTACAGTTGATGTTCGGTCATGATGGAAGGAGAGGTGGAGCTACGGGAGAGATGAGCTGATTATTCGCAGGGTGAGGTTGACATCTGTTGGACGAGTATGACGATTACGAAGACAGTTGAACATGATAATTTTCGAAGGTAACTCAAACTAATTTGGCAATGCAAATATCTTTTCACAAAAGAAGTCAACTAACGAATAGAAGAAGTAATGATTTCTCTTTTCCATGTTGTTGTTGTTTATTTTACTTCGCAGATTCTAACGGGCAAGTTTCCCAATAACAAGAACGCCATGTTGATCTCTAGCATGCATGTACATCTTGGTATGGGGATACTCATGTAGTTTGTTGTACTTATGGCCACTTGCTAGCACCCTGAGTGCGAAAAAGGCACAATTTTCGGAGCTTTGAAGCTCCATATAATAAGTACAACAAAGTGAGTATGTATCCCCGCATGCCATAGCATAATACTGTAATATTATGCTATGGCACGTGGGGATACATACATACCGGTACTCACTTTGTTCTACACTTCGTTTATGAGAATTTTGAGAGCATAACGCGAGAATCCATGAAAGCCTATTTGCATGATTTCGCGAGCATAATCCGACGGAGCCTAAATTCTAAACCACTATTTCCATTTTTCCGAAGCAGAATTCAAGCATTATCAGTGCTATTTAAAAGCAGAATCCATCAAATTCTCAAGCATTATCCGCCGGGTCTAGCTGCTAAGCGCCTAAAGCACACTGGAGCCATTCAGGCACAGTGGATTGCAGTCAGCAGCAAAAAAAATGTTCAAATAGGTATTCGGATTTCAAATCTCAAGCCTTGCAGTACATAATTATTATCAGCTACACGGTAGGTGTTCCATAGCTCACTGGATTGATGTCTGTTCGTTGCAACCAATCTTGCGTTCTGTCTTGTTCCTATGTCTACTTTTCCCAAATATCCACAGTTAATTATTTTATTCACAGTGCGTCCAATGTCATTAAGCGTTATGCCTGTTTTGATTTCCACTATGAATAAAGTGTACATGTACATGAAAAATAAGTGAAGAGTATGATTATTTCTGAGGACTATCACATTAAAACGACTTTCAAATCATAAAAATTGATCTTCTCGTGGAGTCGTGGTATGAGTGCGCTCACTTTACTTTCATCCATATTAGGTTTCTTGTCTCCACGGCGTCCACGCCGATTTTTTCCGTTTTGTTCCCTATTGCGATAAATTATATTTTCCAACTGATGATCGTCACAAGAAAACGTTTTCGGAAAGCTTGAGACCTGTACCTTGCCTTGTGTATTAGTCTATTAGAGTAATGAGTGCCCAGATTTTTATCCTTTAGCAATACTTTTTAAAGTTAAAACTTTCCACTACTTTCACTTTAGCTCATACATGTACAAGTACACCCTTCAAAGCGGTGAACCCCTTGATAGGCGACAAGCCTCTGGGTCATCCTTATAAAGATATTATTAACTGTTATCTCCACACTGGAGCTCGCGCTATTCCGCCGACTTGACTTGGGACTTGACTGACTCGCGACTGCCATCCGGAGCACACGAGAAGTCCACCGAACCTTCGACTCGGCAAACCTGCAAGAACTCAGCACTCCCTGCTCAATACAGTGTTTCGGGAAATTCATCCCTCATCAGTTGAGCTTCAGTAGGCTGAGGAAGATTGTGCCTGAGAAGCACCACTTTATATATAATAATAATAATAACTATAGTGCTCTCCAGGCACAAACACCACCAGGGTTACAAACTTACGGAGACGCTCCATTTCCAGCGCGACAAACACATCGTGAACACCAGATAGCAGCGTGAGTCAGTGTCGCTCCTGGACGGTGAGAACAGACGTCGCGGACCCTAAGTCATTCACAACGCTGTCACCTCCAAACCAGCTACTTGCAAGCCCGCGCTGGGCACAACAGTACGAACTAGTGGTTGCGACTCCGGCGATGATTTTTTTAGGAATGGATTTGCTCCCACACTGGAGCTCGCGCCGCCGACTTGACTTGACACTTGGCTGACTCACGACTGCCACCCAGTCCAGAGTACACAGCAAAATATCAAAACATACAACATTTCGTTCACTAATCTCCGCTAACCGTTGTCTCACTTGGCTTCAGAATATGTTACGAGAGATAGGAGGAGAGTCTCCAGCAGGCAGCGCATGCATCGTCAGGAAGTTTCCGAACACGGTGTCCTCCAACTTGTTTCATGCTGTCAAACCAACAACAAGAGATAAGTACCAGCTCGGGCCTTCCCTTCACTCAAACTGTTTACCCAGATCAAGCTATGCGTTACAGTTCGTCAAACTGTAGGACAGCAACAAAACCCAGCGTAGAGTAGAAGAGAGACAAGGGAGATGGTGGATGCGGCTCATGTTCCTCACTCACCAGACATGCGTGTTCTATAAACAGTGTATAAAATCAATTTTTCACCAGATCATGTTGTCACCAGATCATGTAGTCTTCGGGGTGCTCAGTCCAATGGTCTTGGTCCGAGGAAGCTGAGACGCCCCCGTCCTCCTTTATTCCCAATCGAACTCGCGCACTTCCACCGAAACTGGGTGACTGCGCCCTACTACAATCATGTAGATGGGGATTCACCGCTCCACGGTGTCACCTAAATATGTCTCCACAGCCTCCTGCCCACACCATTCTCGTCCACACACCGTCCTTGTTCATAACACCCTGCCCACACCAGCCATATACATGTACACTGCGCTAATATCACACTGCTAGCTCTAGACTATAGCCTCCTGCCTAGAACATCCACACACATTGCTCACCACCTTCTGCCCACACCAGCCACACATTCTGCGCTAACATTGCACTGCTAGCCCCTGCCTTCAACAACCACACACTGAGTGACTCTGCACACATTCTGCGCTAACATTGCACTGCTAGCCCCTGCCTTCAACAACCACACACTGAGTGACTCTGCACACATTCTGCGCTAACATTGCACTGCTAGCCCCTGCCTTCAACAACCACACACTCTGCACACAGCATCCTGCCTAAGATAACACCGCTAGCCCCCACATTCTCACAGCATTTCATACCTTCTCCTGGCATACTAGCAGATACTGGCATGGTCGGCACCCAACCTTCATGTTGCCTGATGATTGCGAGAGCATGAAACTTCAGGTCGCAGCAAACAAGCCTTGGTTTTCCTTGTTGATCTGTTCTGTAGATGGGGATTTGTATGCAAAATGTCTCCAAAAGCGCCATGTCGTTCTTATAAAAGCACGGATGACGGCGATTGGCTCATATGTTGTAGTCTTTTGGACGCTGAGTCGACTGGTTTTGGTCCGAAAAGGCTGCGATGCAGCGTTCGGCCCTTATGCCCAATCGAACATGGCTGAACAAGTGGTCACGTGCTCCTGCTCCCCAGTTTTAACCTTTGAGTTGAACCTTGGTGTGAAAATAATAGCCTGCAGACACGGTGACCAGGCAACTGGTGTACGCCTGAGCACGTGACCGCTTACTCAACCGTGTTCGATTGGGAATAAGGGCCGAACGCTGCATCGCAGCCTGTTCGGACCAAGACCAGTCGACTCAACGGCCAAAAGACTACACCATTAGGGCGCGTTCAGACTACCGATAAAAAGTGACGGAATGGAAAAGTTGCCAAGGTGATTTGATCACGTGACGTTACTGGCACGTTACCGGCGGAAAAGTTTTACTGCCGCGGCTGCTGCGGCAGTAAAGTTTTCCCGGCAGTAAAAAAGTGCTCAGGCAGCATGCGCGCTGTGAAAAAGGGAAAATCCCTTCTCAGCGCCGCGGTGAGAGGTGCAAAACGTACGTACCGGTAACGTTACTTTATCTGTAGTGTGAATGTCCTTCACGGTTTATCGGCATTCACGGTTTGACGGGGTTCACGGTAGTCTGAACGCGCCCTAATGGACCAATGCGGTCATCCGTGCTTTTAGGGTATACGTCCCCTTTAACTTCCCCTTTAAACCCGGTTCTGATGGTCCCAACGGACCGGGGCTCTACCAACCGTAGATGGTTGTTGTTGTTTTCTTTATTTGAATTCGCTAAAACCAAACGGACAGAACTGTCCAGTGACAAGGGAGCGAATGATGAGCGTCATAATCACAATGCATCAAAACATCTCAGGGCAAAATGAGACAGACTATATTAAAGGAGGGTTTGCACAACACTTGTACATAAGGGGGAGTACGAGAACAAAGGCGCGGCAGAAGTCGAAGCAAGAAATCAATCAACGCCAGAGATTTTTTTTGTCCACCAAAAACAGAGAGAGAGAAAGAGAGAGAGAGCGAGAGAGAGAGAGAGAGAGAGAGAGAGAGAGAGAGAGAGAGAGATCCGAGAGAGAGAGAGAGAGAGAGAGAGAGAGAGAGAGAGAGAGAGAGAGAGAGAGAGAGAGAGAGGAGAGAGAGATAGATAGAGAGAGATGGGAGAGAGAGAGAGAGAGAGAGAGAGAGAGAGAGAGAGAGAGAGAGAGAGAGAGAGAGAGAGAGAGAGAGAGAGAGAGAGAGAGAGAGAGAGAGAGAGAGAGAGAGAGAGAGGGGAGAGAGAGAGAGAGGGAGATAGAGAGAGGTGTAGTAATATCACTGTTTCCGAACACGGTGACCTCCACCTTGTTTCATGCTGTCAAACCAACAACTTGTGTGAACTAAAACAAGGTTTATCTAATGCCATAGTTCTCTCTTCTATCTGTAGGACTCCGTGATCAGTCACGTCTCCCGATCATGATCCCCACGACCAGTCAAATAGTCACATATCCCCGAAGAACAAGCCGCTGCGATTATCTCGGTGAACGGTCACCGGATCCACATCAACAAAATTGATTGCGACTCAACCGGGAGGCATTTACGCCATCAACAAAGACAAGGGGAGCTTTTTTTCTTGAGACTTGAGTCATGAGACTTGTGTACGTAGGCATGTAACAGTGAGAGATATAATTCTAAGAATAGAGAATAATCTGCCGATAACTTAGTCGAGAATACCTGGTCACAGTCTGTAAAGCACGATAGGTACTGTAATTGTGTGTGTGTTAGACCGGAACAGAGAGTACAATAGTGTACAATGCAGCTTGCAACAGAGTAAACTAAAGTAGCAAAGAGATGGCGCAGTGGTGTATGCATGCTAGATTATGGCAGAGGGTCATACTACTAATGTGTAGACAGACAGGAGTATGTGTAGAGGGACTGAAATTGAGCACAGCGGAGCGGCTTTAGGGCACACTGTTGCACGCGTAGGCGCTAGAACATACACAGTGCGTTGTGTGTACGTGTGTGTGTGTGCGTACGTGGGTGTTTCCTACAGGGCTATTACTGCACAGTGCCGCTAGGAGCACGTCTAACAGTGTGTTGATGACACACATCGTTATGAATCTCGTATAGTATTGTCCACAAGCACTGAAATCTACTACAGCCTACAAAAAAAGTAACAATAAAGTGCCAAGTTTACACGTGGCATAGAAAGGAGCAAATAGAGAAAGAAAGTTGCAAAATGCATCAAATTGGGTCAATTAGAGGAAGAAATTGGGAGACTATTGGCAACTAACATGCAAAGAGTGCATCTTAGTCATCGAGGCCATTATCAATGCTCTTCCTTGTTGCCTTTGCACGACACATAGATGTGTTGCGGGCGACAGATGCAGCCGCCGCCATTTGGTATGGTGCCAGCGGCTCATACTCTTTATCGCCCAGCTCGGTGACAGCAGATGTCTGCGTGATTTGGTTCTTGGCGACAGTTTTTGGCGATGCACGCATGCCTTGACGAGCACTCTTGCCACCTGTGGTTACATCACCTTGGTCAATGTCGCTATGGTCGCTCCAAGCCACTCCAGGAGCTGCAATGGTGATTCCTGTTGGTGATGCGTTGCTTGCAAAGGCCTTTCCAGTCTGAGCGTTCACTTCGACGATATCAGCAGTTTCCATGTCACCTTCCCCCACACTCGGCATATCCTCAGGAAGGTAGGAGTGAGCACTCTGGAAGCTGTGCACACTGACAGTGGAAAGAGATTGAGGTATTTGCTGCTGCTGGAATGTCTCTTCTCTTGCATCTCCATCGTCTTCAACCGTAGTGTTCTGTGAACGCAATTTGCGCATACTGGCCCGGTGAGGGCGACTCTGGACACTGGAATATTGTTCTTGTGCTGTTTGCTGAATCTGCTGCGTCTGCTGCTCCTGCTGCTGCCGCTGGGTGTGGCGGCTGACAGATGTGTACTGGTCTTGCTGGTTCAACTCTCCATGTTGTTCCTGGCGATTCACTGCTGCATATTGCTGCTGTGGCTGCTGCTGCTTGTGATTCACCATTGTATATTGCTGCGCCTGCTGCTGCTGCTGTTGGTGATTCACCATTGCGTATTGCTGCAGCTGCTGCTGCTGCTCTTGTTGTTGTTGGTGGTTCACTGCGGAGTATTGCTGCTGCTGCTGCTGCTGTTGTTGTTGTTGTTGTTGTTGTTGTTGTTGTTGTTGTTGTTGTTGTTGTTGTTGTTGATGTTGATTCACCGTTGCATATTGTTGCGGCTGTTGTGTCGTGGCTTCATAATCCTGTGATTGATGCTCCTGCTGTTGTTGTTGTTGTTGTTGTTGTTGTCGTTTTTGTTGTTTTTGTTGTTGTTGTTGTTGTTGTTGTTGTTGTTGTTGTTGTTGTTGTTGTTGATGTTGATTCACCGTTGCATATTGTTGCGGCTGTTGTGTCGCGGTTTCATAATCCTGTGATTGATGCTCCTGCTGTTGTTCCTCAAGTGTGGCATACGGCGTTCGTGCTTGCTGCTGCGGCTGCTGCTGAAAGCTGCTAGTATTGTATTGGTTAAATTGCTGCTGCTGCTGCTGCTGCGTTCGGATGAGTTGGACATCAACAGCCTCGTACGGTGACTGACCCAGCGATTCCAACTCCGTCGTGTGCTCAGATGTTTGCGCATGTGAGACGGCGCAGTAGGGATTCGAGTCGTCCAAAATGCAAGCCGACCGGGGTGTACCCTGCATGTCTTGCTGCATGTGCAGCTGCTGCTGCTGTTGTTGCTGCGTCGTAGTCACAAAGGTACCTTCTTGATCAGCATCGCCGCTAGTATGAGCAGTCATGCTGGTCGCATCCCTCGGCTGGCTAGTCACACTGGAATACTTGGCATTAACGTGATCTGATGCATATCTCAAAAGGTCTGCACTGCGGGTTGAGCGGACAGCATCCTTACCATCAGCGCTCCACAGGCTCACGTTGTCCTCCATTCTCTTGGCACGCCAGTTCTCATGCTCCAATGACACCGGATCATCAGGCTTTGAAAGACCAGTCCCTTTCTCCATGAACGAACTCGGCTCTTCTGGCACTTCGAAATTGAAATCTTCTTCCGAGAAACGAAACGACTTCTTGGGCTTGGACGAAGCTGGCTTGTCATGAACCAAGCCCACCTTATCTCCAGACTCCAGCCAGTTTCTGTCAGCACAAAGATAAACATAAAAACACAATCCAACTACAGTGAAACCTGGTTAGGAAGAACACTGATAAGACAAATGTTTGCTTAAGAAGAACTAGTATCCGTAACTGTATCGGATAAAACCCTGTGTATTCACTGGGTAAAACATATTATGGATAAGAAGAACTCCCGTTATTGCGAACAATTGTCATCGGTCCCTTGGTGTTCGTCCTAAAGAGGTTTGACTGTACATTACTAGGCGGTGTACAGCACAGCCGACTCTTTATCTAGCGAACACCATTGTGCAGGAGAATTAGTTCAAGTCCGTTAGAACAGAAATGCACCCACACTACACAAGCAGCAAGTCATGACTGATATGTGTCCCATGACAGTATGAATGTACTTGGCTTACATGCAGCCCTACAAGATTAGGTTCATTGGCCCCAGTCCCTCACACAAACAAGTCAACAAAGAGGCATCTTTGGATTGAGGAGTGCTGCTTTCGAAACAGCTGGCTTGAAGCTCAAAATAGAGCTGCTGTTAGCTCAAAGTAGAGCTGCTGTTAGCTCAGAGTAGAGCTGCTGTTTGCTCAAAGTAGAGCTGCAATGGTAAATGGATGTAATATAGCTCAAGGCAGAGTCACAGCCCCACCTCCATCTATGCATTCCGGCTACGGTGTACTATTTATGTGTATACAAATTACGTGTCATAAAGTAGCCATAGTACGATACCTAGATAAAGCCTAGTTCACATTCGACGGGGCGCGACGGGACGCGACGTAAGGATCGACGGGAAGCGACGGGACGGTCTGACGGCGTCCAATGTGAACACCAGGAACGGGAACGCAACCGTACTACCGTACAGATCGGGAAGCGACGAGAAGAGTTGGATCGATCCAACTTGTCATACCGTAGGCGGGCATAGACGGGGACGCAAGCGTACAAAAACGGCTGTAATTCGAGTGTGAACAGGAGACGGCGTCGTGCGCCGACTACTCCCGATTCGTACTTGGAAATTTTTAGCATTTCGAACACTGCGCTTCCCATGATAACTCACAGAATGGCTAGCACGACTTGAATTGAATTTTAGCAACATAAGATCTCATGTCACTTATTGTATTTAGGGATAGTTCAGAAGCGTGACAGATGAACTATTCTATCATTTCCTGGGGCTATTATTTGAATGCCACAACTTTCAGAGCTAATTTTTTGGTCTTCATGAAAAACTGGTATTGTGAACTTGATTCCGCTTCTTTGAAGGAGAAATAATTGAAAAGAAGTCCCGAAAAACGAGAAATTAGTTCCGAAAGTCACCCCGTCACGGACCGTGCCTTATGACTCGCGCCGTTTGACGTTGAACGTCGCAACGACTGCTGCACGTCGTGTCGTACGAATCGTACAGGATTTTACAGCTCACCCCAGCCCTCCCGACAAGCCCTTACGTCCCGTACCGTCGGTGTTGCGTCGAATGTGAACTAGGCTTAACACCAGTTGTGAGAGTGGACCTGATCAGTGGGTACGATAATTATAATGTTTGTGTAAATAAGTTGGATAGGGAGGGATGGTGGGAAAAGAAACACCGCGGAAGCATGATCTGTTGTCTGGAGGAACACGACAGGGCAAGCAAGATTTTTTCTTTCCTTTTCAGCAAAACGGGCTGGGTGCCATTTGTGAATATGCAGCAAAGCAAAGCGCATGACCTCAGTCTTGAATGCAGTACAAAGCAATGCAGTGCAGTGTGTGCACTAGTTCGGATTATTGCTAACGAGTACTAGCACAGCTAGTACGCCAGCTAGTACGCCATTAGACACGAAAACTGCTATACAGTACTGTTAAGTGATAACTATAAAGAGAGTCAATCACAACCAGCGCAGTGGTGCAACCCATGTGCAGCGGCGAACCCCGAACGCACAGCAAAGCCAAACGGGACGCTCATCCATCGTCGAGTCAGACAGGACAACAACCTAAACACCATTCCCACCCTACAGCCTCCCAGTATACACAATTGCCTAAATATTTTACACTAGGAATTCGGGGGGGGGGGGGGATCCTCAAACACAAAAGGCACAAAGCACCAGGCATCTTCATTGTTACGAATATTTTCCCGACGCTACAACACAACTTCACTACAAGAGTCTCGTCCACAACTTCACTACGAGAGTCTCGTCCATATTGCACTACGCTGAGTACTGGCCTGCTCCCGCTCTGAAGAGCTTTTTAGCCTTCACCGTTTTCGCTCAAACCCAGGCATTGGCCCACAGTGGCAGTCGCTTCCTTTTTGTTTTTGTTTTCTTTTCTCCTAATTCGCACCAAAAAAACTGGTGGGTAAAAACCGTCTCGACTGTTTTTTAGGCAGTGACGGAGAAAGTAAAAGGGGGGATACTTTCCTTCTTCTTCTTCTTTTTTGTCCTAGGGGCAAGCTGAAAAGTTGGTTTGTGCACTGGTGTGAACCCCCTCGCATACATATAGTGTCTGTTTATGCACCTTTCAAGGTTTGCTAGGAACATGCAGCAGTAAAAAAAGTAAATTATCGTATCCGTTCCCGAAGGGAACTCACGACGGCCGCTAACACCCGATGAACCCTAGCGGCAGATGCAGCAGATGCACGCAGCAGTGAGTCAGAAACAAGTTGCAAGTGGTTGTACGCTGGTGACACCCCCCCCCCCCGCAAACACACCAACACCAAAACTCACACACACGTACACACATGCGCTCACACATGCGCTCTCACACGCACACCCACCACATACACACACACACACACGTGCGCGCACATGCACACATACACACAGGGCATGCATATCGCGTCCAAGAAAGCTTACCCGGGTGCACATTGCTTATTGAAGCCTGGAGCCAGTGAGGACCCACTAGCAGAATTCTTACGCCTGTGATGAACGATAATGCCAGCGGCAGCAATTCCTATCACACAAACCACAGCCAACGGAGCCACAATAAGAGCAAGTCCCTTGGCAGAATTTTCACGGCCTGGATTGCTACTATGGATTTCATCTATGTTGTTGTGGCCATCCATGCTGTGGTTAAAGGATCTTTGTGGTTGGACGGTTGACTTGCCCGGCAAGCCACTGTTCACTGTCGTGTGAACAATCACAAAATTACTGCTGCTAGCAATTGAAGCTGATTTGGATGTGCCAGGCTTGTTTGCACCTTGAGTGGAAGAATGCCTGTCAAATGATGGAGCTGTGTTGCTACCGCGGCCCGTGTTGCTGTTGCTGCTGTGGCTGTGGCTGTTGTTGCTGCTGCTGTGGCTGTGGCTGTTGTTGCTGCTGCTGTGGCTGTGGCTGTGGCTGTTGTTGCTGCTGCTGTGGCTGTGGCTGCTGCTGTTGTTGCTGCTGGTTGGGGCGGATTCTGTAGCAGGTGACTTTGGAGCAGATGGAGTGGTTGCTCCTGGCATTTGTTTGGCTGCAGGAATGAAGGAGAAATAGTGCAGTTAGGAGGAAAGAAGGATAGGTTAGTTCAGGGGAAAGGCGGTACAGGTTCGAGTCACTTTTTGGGGTCACGTGCGAAAACGGTTTGAATTGCTGGTGAACAGGCGAAGCCCAGTTCACTTGCAATTTGTACGGCGGTGAAAGAAATACTAAAATGACGCTCCACTTGATGTCCGACACTCGTGTTGAGTCAGAGCAGTCGCCAGGAAGCCCTTCCAAGGCGTGGGCAAAAAAGAACAAGCTTCAGATTCGCTCCAAGCGCTGGTGGAGACGAACCTGTCACATTTCGTATACACTTTTCAATGCGTTCTGACATGCAACCCGTTCACCACAATCTCGGGGTTTGCGCCATTGGAGGGTACGTCGCACCGTCCTTGAAGAGCCTCTATACTGAGCACCGTATTTAAACTGGAGGGGCCTGCTTCTAATGGCTAAAGGTAACCAAAGAGGCAAATACACACCAGACATTACTCATGGCTCACTCGGAAGTTGGCTTTCCTGATGTGGGTGCTCCTGGGACTGCTCGAATGGGAACAGACCAACTTTCTGTTCTAAATATCTTTTTGAAATCTGTGGTGAAATTGTGTGCGTGTGTGTGTGTGTGTGTGTGTGTGTGTGTGTGTGTGTGTGTGTGCAGTGGCGTAGCTCGGGCAATACTTGTATGGATACTAGATATCTTTGGTCAACCAAGTTCAGATTTATTTTGAGGTCCTTGATACAGATAATGCATGTCTTTTCCACTAGAGGCTAGGTGAAATATCTGGCATTTGCATTATGCAATACAGAAGTGTGTAATTGATATCAGACGTTAGTACACTGTTTCAATTTATACAATCATATAATTATAAATACAGCCTCCGTACTACGCTTACGAGTCCATAATGGACGAAACAGTTCCGCCCGCAGGTTGAGTAAATAACAGGTCATGTATTCAGCATTTGCAATAAATAAACGATACTGGTTCAGAGTGGTGTGAGCCATGGTGTTCACACGATATTTGGGAGAGTGATGCTCTGTGGTTTAGTTGCGGGCGACTATAGAACAGCTGACCTAGTTGATGGCCAAACTTGTTGCTCTCCCCTCCAAACTTTGTGCATGTGAAACAAAATGTGAAACAAAATCCATCATTCACACACTTGGAAACGGTCAGTCAGGCATAGTTTTCCAGCCAGTATCAACTGACCTTTATGTACTGGCCACGTACTTTCATCGCCAAGATTAGACGCCATACTGTATGCATGGACTGGTAAACCTCCCAGGTGGTCGGAAATGGTGCTACAGTAGCTCAAACGTCTCCCTTGAACTTAGCGTAAACTGGCAATTTCAGCCACGAGCCCTGCGCACCAGCCACTGTCCTTGCATTTCTCCCTGTTTCCGGATCATCAAACGTTCACAAAACGCTGGCATCGTCAACCAGCTGCGGAAGAAGAGTACCGGCTTCGGGTCACACTGCAGGTGTATGATCAGCTGCAGGTTCCGGAGAATCACAATCTACAGTTTGTATCGGCTATAGCGTACCCTTTTGATTTCCGTGATTTTATCACTATAACCGATGCATGACTATACGCGATAGGATCGATTTTTTTCTTCTTCTTTTTTTCGATCGACCCATGAAAGGCAAGGAAATATTTCCAGCCTATGCTTTTGACAAATGAGCATGCTGCGTAGTTGACAGTGCCCGCATTTCCATAAAAAAATTCTGTTACATACATGTACATGTATCACTATAAAAATAAGCAACGTGAAGAAAGTTAAAAAAAATAGGGCCTTTGATATTATTGCTACATGTATTTTAAAGTTATCACTATAGCCGATAATAATATACAGTAAAAACTGTAACTAAAGACCATCATGACTAGCGACCAGCCTGGTACTACATTAAAACCTGTAACTAAAGACCACCATGACTAGCGACCAGCCTGGTACTACAGTAAAACCTGTAACTAAAGACCACCGTGACTAGCGACCAGCCTGGTACTACAGTAAAACCTGTAACTAAAGACCACTATGACTAGCGGCCAGCCTGGTACTACAGTAAAACCTGTAACTAAAGACCACCGTGACTAGCGACCAGCCTGGTACTACAGTAAAACCTGTAACTAAAGACCACCATGACTAGCGACCAGCCTGGTACTACAGTAAAACCTGTAACTAAAGACCACCGTGACTAGCGACCAGCCTGGTACTACAGTAAAACCTGTAACTAAAGACCACCGTGACTAGCGACCAGCCTGGTACTACAGTAAAACCTGTAACTAAAGACCACCATGACTAGCGACCAGCCTGGTACTACAGTAAAACCTGTAACTAAAGACCACCATGACTAGCGACCAGCCTGGTACTACAGTAAAACCTGTAACTAAAGACCACCATGACTAGCGACCAGCCTGGTACTACAGTAAAACCTGTAACTAAAGACCACCATGACTAGCAACCAGCCTGGTACTACAGTAAAACCTGAAACTAAAGACCACCGTGACTAGCGACCAGCCTGGTACTACTGACCACTTGGCCAGGCACGGACAGTCTCACATTCAAAATGCACTGTGACTAGCGACTACCTGCTGGACGCGACCAGCGACCGCCTTTTCTTGTCCCAAAGACGATTTTTGACCCGTAACTAGCGACCGCAATGTAGGAAATCAAATGGTGCTAAAAGCTCCTTCTTGAAATTTTGCTGATTTTCCATGGTCCTGAAAGGAATCTTTCGGTACTACAGCTCAACAAATGAACGCAGGCCATTTTGACTGTGGAGTCGGTTGGACTCCACTACACTTGTCAGAATTTCAAGCGCTGTCAAGAATAAACATGATAGGAAACGTCTTGGAGAGCGCATTGAAAGCGTTCTCTGCTCGATGTTACTACTCTGAGGAGAAACGAAGACTGAGCGGCTCTGTCACCCCAGTCATGCAAACGAATCGACGATGGCATCAAGGAATCCAGAAACAAAGCAGCACCGCATGGTCCTGATGCTGAAGGATCGTGTTCTAACAATCGAGAAGTCACAACAAGGATAGTCGGTACGATTGATCGCATTAAAAAATTTGAAGCCCAGCGCAAAACGAAACTTCCACAGGGAACGTTTGACTCCTGGCTTCAGAAGCAGCAAAAATTAATCTTCTTTCTCTCTTTTTGTCTCTCTCCATCTCTCAGTCTTTCTCTCCAAGTGTTGTTTGACCTGAATTAAGAATGGTATTGCGCAAGTCCTCGGGAATTGTATTAGCTGCATTTTGATATACATACATGTATCATATTATGGGATCCATATATGGTCGCACGGTCCAAACCTCTAACTAAAGACCACCTGCTACTAAAGACCGCTTTTGCTGGCACCAAAGGGTGGTCGTTAGTCACAGGTTTTACTGTAGTATGTTATGCATGTTTGACTCTTTGTTGCCATCATAATATCCGATACATCATTACATCCGATAATATTGGATATGGAATGAGTTAAGAGTAACTCTCCACCACTGTAACTAGATACTATATACAGTCAGAAAGTGCAACGACTAGGCACAACACTGACAGAGTACTGAGACATTCGACGTCCTGACACCTAGCTTCAACACATCGTTCATCGTTGAAGCTAGGTGTCAGGACGTCGAATGTCTCAGTACTCTGTCAGTTTTGTGCCTAGTCGTTGCACTTTCTGACTGTATATAGTATCTAGTTACAGTGGTGGAGAGTTACTCTTAACTCGTTCCATATGTCCTTTTCCTTTCTACTTTTATTATTGGCTCAATACCCGAGTTTCAAATATTAGTTATAGTGATATTTCCACTGGATAAAATACGTTTTGCTTTTGATATTTCGTACCAATATCACTGAAGCCAATATATTCTTATATCCGGTCACTCTATCGCCGATACAGACTGTACAAGACAACCAGGACCATCCTTGTGTGACGACAACTCCCCCAACGTTCCAGACTCATATCATGTGAGAGTCGGAGATTCCCGGAGAGGCCACACTCTCGGGCTGCCCGGAAGCGAATTCGCCGCCAGAGTCAACGGAATCGGGCATCGATACAGCGTCAGCACTCAAAGAGTTGTCCGAACAACCGCTATCACGGCGCTTGGAAGAAGTCGCTGAAAACAAATCTCCAATTTTCGCTTGGTGAAAGCGCTTCACACATGTACCCACCACACTACAGAACTTGGAAATAATTGGTGGCGAAGAAGAAAGAAAAATGGAAACAAACTGAAAGCTTTCGAAACAAAAAGACTTAGACTTTCCGACTCCGACTTCGGCTCTGGTTTTGCTAGTGCAAAAAGTGGGTGTGAATCCGCATTGCATCGGTTTTGGGCAGCACTGTTGCACTGTGGTTCAGACAGCAAATGCGAACAGCGGTTCAAAGAAGTACAAGCCTGTATACATGTACAAAGACTAGGGGCGCGTTCGAATTGTCACTCTTTGACTTTTCAAGGAGTTTCGTTTTTCTGAAGAGGTGGCCTTATTGGCCTCTTCAGAAAACGAAGCTCCTCGAAACTCATCCGATGGGAAGGTGGATTAGTTTCGAAGAGTTTGGAATAGCTACGTCACACAGTACGTGGAGATGGTCGATCTGATCGGACGTCATCATCGCCATGACAATTCCACTGAAAAACTCTAAAATGATAGAAACCGTTCTAATGGGACACTTCAACTAATCTCTTTATAAAATTTGTTTGAACAGTTGATGAAGACAATTCGAACACGCCCTAGATGTCCTACTGAGTCATGTAGATCCTGCGAACTCTTCTTCAGTCAACAATAGAATCCACACATGAAGTCAGTGCCTGTACTGGCTGTACACTACTACAGTGCTTATTCGACATGTGCTGGCCAACCACGTATGGATACCTGACTACAAAGTACCCACTCTGGCTACGCGCCTGGTGTGTGTGTGTGTGTGTGTGTGTGTGGCAGCTAGTTTGGTTGGTGGGTACACTTATGCCTGATTGTCACAGTGTTGGGTCTGTTGCCAACGGGCTTCAAGGTGTAATGTTGTACCTGCCACCTTTGTTGGTTCCAGGGTTCATATACTTTCTATTTGAAGTATATATACCTGTTAACCATGGACTGCTTCTGGCTAGATTAACTCTTGTGTAATCAATGGTGCTAGTGAAACTTATATCAGATCCACTCTGATTTAGCCACCCACACTAGTAGCAAGTATTACCTTCACTGGGGGCAGGGGTAACTGCAGTTGGATCCCAGGACGGATACCCTGATGCCGTCAATCCTTTTTCTGCACCTTGTCCTCACCCACTTACTGAGGTGTGGTGAGGCCATAAGTGGGATCATTTTCAAGTTCACCCAGAGTTTTGGGGACTTCAGGGGGTGTCGGCCGTTGGGCAGTTCAATAGCCAATTGAGTCATCTTTCCAAGATTCCTTTTGAGTCTCTCTCCCCTCTCCCAGGGTGACCCACGTGACCAGTTTTGGCAGTGAGCAACAAGTACAAAATGTGTGTGTGTGTGTGTGTGTGTGTGTGTGTGTGTGTGTGTGTGTGTGTGTGTGTGTGTGTGTGTGTGTGTGTGTGTGTGTGTGTGTGTGTGTGTGTGTGTGTGTGTGTGTGTGAAGGCTTGCCACGTCATGTGGAGTTCTGCCATGGCACATTTCATACTCTTGGGTAATGTGTACTATTCATACTCTTTCTATAGAACACTAAGAAAGGGCACAAGCTTCAGGTTCTTCAATGCCATAATCCTTTCTTCCTATAAACAAAGCTAAAAACAGTTTAGGTATGCTATGTCGTGATAAATCTATTATTGCCCTCATAATCGGTCAATATATGAAATATAGAACGAGTAAAAGACCTCGGTCCGTATAGTATCTTGTAGTTCCTTGGTCCTTTTTCTTTTCTATAAATTTATCCTTGGCTCTCCATCCGAGTCCATTCTTGGTGAAAAAAGTTCGATATTTACGGACAGAAGGTTTAAGTACCGTTCCAGGGAAATAAAGTACAGCTGAGAAATGCTGCTGATACTGAAAAGGTCTCACAATCACTTACACAGCACAATAGTAGCTTTGGTGTATGATTGATTCATTGGACTATCTGTAGATACACTAGTCCTCACAGGAGTTGCAACATGAGATGTGCTGTCTCCAGCCTGTTGCTGTGTTGTTGCGTATGAAGCGGTGTAGGTAGGAGTCCGTGCTGGAGATTGGCCTGTTGTGGTATTGTTCTGAGGTATCCCCTGCTGGCTTTGGTTTTTCTCAGCAGGTCCAGGCAAGTTTGTAGGGAGGCTTGTTGTGGCTGGTGTTGTGGGGGCTGGTGTTGTGGGGGCTGGTGTTGCTGTGGCTGGTGTTGTTGTGGCTGGTGTTGTGGGGGCTGGTGTTGTTGGTGCTGGTGTTGTTGGGGCTGGTGTTGTTGTGGCTGATGTTGTGGGGGCTGGTGTTGTTGGGGCTGGTGTTGTGGGGGCTGGTGTTGTGGGGGCTGGTGTTGTTCTGGTTGTTGTTGTTGAGGCTGGTGTTGTTGTGGCTGGTGTTGTGGGGGCTGGTGTTGTTGTGGTTAGTTTTGTGGGGGCTGGTGTTGTGGGGGCTGGTGTTGTGGGGGCTGGTGTTGTGGGGGTTGGTGTTGTGGGTGCTGGTGTTGTTGGGGCTAGTGTTGTTGGGGCTGGTCTTCTGGGGGCTGGTGTTGTTGCGGTTGGTGTTGTGGGTGCTGGGGTTGTTGGGGCTGGTGTTGTTGGGGCTGGTGTTGTTGGGGCTGGTCTTGTGGGGGCTGGTGTTGTTGTGGTTGGTGTTGTGGGAGCTGGTGTTGTTGGGGCTGGTGCTGTTGTGGTTGGTGTTTTGGGGGCTGGTGTTGTTGGGGCTGGTGTTGTTGTGGTTGGTGTTGTGGGAGCTGGCGTTGTTGGGGCTGGTGTTGTGGGGGCTGGTGTTGTTGTGGTTGGTGTTGTGGGGGTTGGTGTTGTGGGTGCTGGTGTTGTTGGGGCTGGTGTTGTTGGGGCTGGTGTTGTTGTGGTTGGTGTTGTGGGAGCTGGTGTTGTGGGGGCTGGTGCTGTTGTGGTTGGTGTTGCGGGGGCTGGTGTTGTGGGGGTTGGTGATGTGGGTGCTGGTGCTGTTGTGGTTGGTGTTTTGGGGGCTGGTGTTGTTGGGGCAGGTGTTGTGGGGGCTGGTGTTGTCGTGGCTGGTGTTGTGGGGGCTGGTGTTGTTGTGGTTGGTGTTGTGGGCGTTGGCGTTGTGGGTGCTGGTGTTGTTGGGGCTGGTGTTGTTGGGGCTGGTGTTGTGGGGGCTGGTGTTGTTGTGGTTGGTGTTGTTGGGGCTGGTGTTGTTGTGGTTGGTGTTGTTGGGGCTGGCGTTGTGGGGGCTGGTGTTGTGGGTGCTGGTGTTGTTGTGGGGGCTGGTGTTGTTGTTGCTGGTGTTGTTGTGGTTGGTATTGTGGGGGCTTGTGTTGTTGTGGTTGGTGTTGTGGGGGCTTGTGTTGTTGTCGTTGGTGTTGTGGGGGCTGGTGTTGTTGGGGCTGGTGTTGTTGTTGCTGGTGTTGTTGTTGCTGGTGTTGTGGGTGTTGTGGGGACTGGTGTTGTTGTGGTTGGTGTTGTTGGGGCTGGTGTTGTTGTGGTTGGTGTTGTTGGGGCTGGCGTTGTGGGGGCTGGTGTTGTGGGTGCTGGTGTTGTTGTGGGGGCTGGTGTTGTTGTTGCTGGTGTTGTTGTGGTTGGTATTGTGGGGGCTTGTGTTGTTGTGGTTGGTGTTGTGGGGGCTTGTGTTGTTGTCATTGGTGTTGTGGGGGCTGGTGTTGTTGGGGCTGGTGTTGTTGTTGCTGGTGTTGTTGTTGCTGGTGTTGTGGGTGTTGTGGGGACTGGTGTTGTGGGGGCTGGTGTTGTGAGTGTTGTGGGGGCTGGTGTTGTGGGGGCTGGTGTTGTCGTGGCTGGTGTTGTGGGTGCTGGTGTTGTTGTGGTTGGTGTTGTGGGGGCTTGTGTTGGTGTGGTTGGTGTTGTGGGGGCTGGTGTTGTGGGGGCTGGTGTTGTTGTTGCTGGTGTTGTTGTTGCTGGTGTTGTGGGTGTTGTGGGGACTGGTGTTGTGGGGGCTGGTGTTGTGAGTGTTGTGGGGGCTGGTGTTGTGGGGGCTGGTGTTGTCGTGGCTGGTGTTGTGGGTGCTGGTGTTGTTGTGGTTGGTGTTGTGGGGGCTTGTGTTGTTGTGGTTGGTGTTGTGGGGGCTGGTGTTGTTGGGGCTGGTGTTGTTGTTGCTGGTGTTGTGGGGGCTGGTGTTGTGGGTGTTGTGGGGACTGGTGTTGTGGGGGCTGGTGTTGTGGGTGTTGTTGTTGCTGGTGTTGTGGGGGCTGGTGTTGTGGGTGTTGTGGCCGCTGGTGTTGTGGGGGCTGTTGTTGTCGTGGCTGGTGTTGTGGGTGTTTTGGCGGCTGGTGTTGTGGGGGCTGGTGTTGTGGGCGCTGGTGTTGTGAGGGCTGGTGGCATTGTTGCTGGTGCAGTCCTTGGTTGTCCAGCTATACAAAGAGGAGGCAAATAGGAGGAATACAGAAGTATGGCAAACAGAATGTCAATAATTTAGAATTCTCTACATCAACATAGTAATCGCAGTAGTCTCAGTAATTATGGTCTTGTAGAGAGTCAACTGTGTGGTTTTCCAGGACAAGAGCAGATTTGCATAATGGCACACAAAGAAATAAATCCAGTTGTGAAACTGATGAGACCTTTCGTACCATTACTTCTCAATTCAGCACGTGGTAACGAGAGAGCCTGGAAGCTCATGGCCCTACACTATGCTTTTTTGCCTAGCGAGAGTCAACTTTCTCTTTGCATTCGAGGGTAATACGACATCGTCTACCGCCTTGATGACCTAGGCAAAAAAAGCATAGGGATGTTATAAATTTTTCATTTCTCCTTTTTTTTTAAGACATAACCTAGGATTCGAACCCGCACTATCACCCTGCATGCATTCCCCCGATACACTTCACATATGCTCATTCTTCCAAGTTGCTTCACGTTATGATCTTGCATTTGAAAGCCCTATTTGACTATTGTGGCCAGCTGTCTTTGATGGTACGGTACGGGACAGGTACGGGATAGCGCCAGGCATTCCGATGCTGTCCTTGATGGTACGGTACTGGACAGGCACGGGATAGCACCAGGCATGCCGATGGCACAAACAAACAAACAAACACGGAAATAAAGCTGTGTGGACCCTGGCTAGCGCCAGACGTTACCGAAGTAACGTCTTTTGTATAGCTAAGGGAATAAACGTGATGAAGCACAACAAGTTCAATGGATACAGTTTATCCCTATTGTCTTCATGCACTGGGTCGAGACCCGTATGTTGGAGACTGCCACCCTCCAGCCATCACTCTATGCAAGGTACATCGACGATACAATTTCAATTTGGATCTATGGCTCAGCTGCTCTACGGGTATTCATTGCCCACTGCAAAAGCCAGCGCCCTATGAACAAGTTGACTTACGAAAGCAGTGAAAATGGACCTGTTCCTTTTCTTCACGTTTGCTTTGAGGTTACCCCTGACGACGGCACCATTACACACCGCCTGTACAGGAAGCCTAGTGACAGTGGCGTCAACGTGGACTTTCATCCCCAAGTGCCTCGCTCCGTCAAGTATGCGGTCGGTAAGCAGCACTTCGTCAGGGCTCGAAAGAATTCGTCTTCACCAGCACAAGCCTGTGAGAGTCTCGGTATGACGAAGAAATTGCTGCGAAGCAACAACTATCCCGAGGCAATCATCGAAGAGATTGCTGCAAAGCAACAACTATCCTGAGGCAATCATCGAAGAGATTGCTCGGAAATGTTGGCACACTGCCCAGCGACGTGAGGCAAATGAAGAAAGATGCCGCTATACTGAAGCTACCCTTTCGCTTAGGAGATAGAAGAGATTCAGCGGAAGGCGAAGAATTTAGTCGAGCGCTCAGGGTTCCTGGTTAATGTCGTATCTGACACACCCCCAACCTCAAAGATGCCCTCGTGAAGTCAGCGCTGAATCCAACGAAGTGCAGCGTGACACAAGAAGGAGTGAGGCGCCGAGAACAGCGGAGGCGAGGAAGACCGCTCAACCCCTGCATCTCATGCTCCTCTGGTTTGCCGAGCTGCATGTGTGATTCCCCGGCATTATCTGTATGATGAAGTGTCGGAAGCGATATGTCGGTGAGACCTTCAGGGTCGCAAGAGACCTTTTTCATCATATTGTGAGAGTCGTGGGCCAATAGCCCCGGTGAGAAGGCAGTCTTGCCTGTTCATATGGTGAAGTAAAATAAAGAAACAACAACAACAACCGTTTCGAGGAACACCACTAGGAAGCATGTCACAGGATGCTGGACAAACCGTGGGGTAAACACATGGCTACTGATCCCGAGCAGCACAGAACCATGAATAGCACAAATGTGATTTTCATTGAGGCACAAGTACTGGCTGTGAAGACATGGATGGCCAGAAGAAAAATCAGGGAGTCAATCAAGATTCGAGAGCGTCGTCCGGAGATCAATATCTCCTTCGGAGGGCTATTAAAGGCGCTAGCACCCTTTGTTGTTGTTGTATACTTTATTTATAGTGGAAATCAAAACAGGCAAAATGCCTAATAACATTGGACCCACTGTGAATAACATGTTAAAGGATATTGTGGAAAAGCAGATACAAGAGAAAAAGAGAAAGGAAAGAAAAAACGGAAGGTTGGTTGCAACGAACAGATATCAATCCAGTGAGCATTGGAAAACCTATGTCGCTGATAATATATACTGCAAGGCTTGAGATTTAAAATCCAAATACCTATTTGAACATTTTGCTGCTGGTGGCAATCTATTCCACATAATGGCTCCAGCGTGCAATAGGCGCTTAGCAGAACGAGCAGTGCTAGCAGGTGGGACCACAAGCAAGTTGCTTTGGCCTCACCCTCACAGTGAAACTGCTAAATCTTGCTGTATCTGTACAGGGTTGTACACACAATGATTGTGGTATACACCTTCGTACACACATGTCCTGCACTTTATCTGCTGAGCTCTTGCATACCCGCTCTTTCAGTGTACTTTTCCTTGTCTGCTGTGCATGCGAATTCATACACTCAATTTCATACGGCCATTGTGTGTGTTCGTTTGTTTTGTACATGGACATACATCACTAATAAAATAAATTTACATCCAGCTAATACGCCAAAGAGTGAATAGCAACTGAATAGAGCGGTTGTCAGTTGACAACCCCCCTTTTATTTACAATGCAGTTGCGTGATGTCCACCACTTTCTGAGTATGCAGGTGAAATAGGCTGGTTTGACAAGTAATGGCGTCAAAGGACTCGTGACGTTCACAACTGGTTTCGTCTCTTTGTGTGCTAATATGTCTCCCTCGAACTACAGTCCTTATTGAAGGATCGCATCACTAGTGGCGTTTCCGTCACAATTTGCTGGGAGACAAATATATGAAGGCAAATACAAGAAGGACATTCTTCAGGTTCTTCAACAACATTCTGAGAGCGTTCGAGAGTGTACTGTCGACTCCACTTAAAACGAACTCGCACCTGGCAAATTTCGTGATATAGCAAACCAGTGTCCATGTCGCTCCCTGTTTGAACCCATACAAAATTGACCCCTCAGGGCCCCTTGCACACCATGTAGAAAAACGCCTATGTGCTGCGTTCCAGTAAAAGTTGTCATGTCAACTGACGGCATACGGTGGAAAACCTAGAAAGTAGCGCAAGGGTTTCTGCCGACCTTGGACGGGTATAGAAGGTTTCTTTTGGAGCTTTTAGGCGTTCCTGAACTTCCAGAGATAGGAACTTCATTCTTGTGACCGTGATGTTTTGGCGCTGTGTGGATATCAATCCTGTTTCCTGTTTCAGACTTCCATTGACTGTTTGCGCACTTCTGAACTTTTCGTACTTGAGCTCTTGTTATTCGGGCCGTGGTAGGGCGTACTATAGTTCAGTTTTACAAGGTGAGTATGAGACAATCCCAAGCCGTCCAAAGGTTGCAACCACTTCTCTAGTCCACGATACTGGTCCGCAACAGCATGGCAAACATTGTCGTTAGCATTAAACTTGAGCAACTGTAATCGATCGTCTTGAAAATATCAAGAACAGGAAATAGCCAGCGATCACACGACTTCAGTAGCTTTTGGAGATCCTGAAACATCACTGATCACTGCAAAGGCCGCCGCCGTCTCTTGCCGGAGTCTACCTGAGGTCCATAGGTATGGCTACAACAGGAAAGATGCAGAACGAATTCAAAGAAAACAAAGTAGTCGTTCTGAGAACAGCATTTCTCGTCTGAACTGCAGTTTCTTGTTGAATCTCGAGGCGTGCGCGCCACTAACTCGCACTGCACTGCAAGGGTACTGCAGACCACTCGTCAGCGTGCAACTGCACTTGAACAAGCTAGTGCATACGCAGAGTATGCTCAGGTTTGTTGCGTTCTACATGTAACCAGTTTACAATGGTCCTAATAGCGAACAGGTTTCGTTTGTAGCCAACCGTAGCTCGTAGGGCCGCATGCAATCTAAGTGCAATCATGCTGTCACGGGTCACACGCCAATCATGATGTGTTGCTTGTATGGCGTGAGTGCTTTAATTTTAAAGAACTTCAGCTACAAAGAACTAATTCACCTGGACAATGGTGTTGGTAACATCAGGAGTCGACTGCACTGTCTAGCCTTCTCGTCAGGTGAATACAGGAAAGCGCAAAGGAACAGTGACAATTGATTCAGTGCAGCAGAGAGGTGATAAAACAGCACAAGTGTTGTACATGTGGCTGCGCTTGTGTCTCTTCCTTGTACATGCGGCTGCAAGAGTAGCTCTTTGTCGTACATGCTGCTGCTTTTGTGTCTCTTTATTGTACATGCTGCTGAGCCGTGGTACATGCTGCTGCGCTGTTTTTGACTCCTGCGTACATGTGGCTGCACCGTTTTCTGTCCCCGCTGTGCACACACTTGCTTGTCTTGTCCCCATTGTACGCCTTCACTATTATATCCTGTTGTCTCGTCTTTTCTCAGTGTCAGTTGTTCGTTGTCAGTGTTAGTTGTTAATCGTGAGTTCTCCCGTCGGCTCCTGAAGCGCATTACAAGAAAAGCTCTCTCTTTGGAAATAGAGAACAACCATTTGACTACAGTCCATTCATAAAAAGATGGGTCCTGGCTCTGGCGAGCTCCCGTATTTGGCGATTTTTCGTGATTTCATCGTACACAGTGCAGTGCTGCGAACTTTGAAATTTGAAAAAGGGTCCAAAAAGGGTACCTGAACTGGGGTTCGAACCGCAGAATGCACTGTTGCAGGCGGGGTCAAACGGCCTGGATTTTGATGGTTTTTCCCAATTCAGTGCTTTTGGGGCAAAACCTGGCCGAAATCCTATTCTTGCTATGGCTTGCTTTTTGGACAAAAAAACTTCAGAAACATAATTGGAAGAGGATTCCATATGGGATTGCAGAAAAAAATTCTAAAAAAACTCAACGTTTGACCCATTTATGGCCAAAAGCTATAAGTTCATTTTTTTCTGAATGGACTGTAGTCCTTTTGATGTGTGGCGTGGCGAGAGCGTAGAGGCAGTTCTTTCTCCATCCGAGACGACACTAGGAAGAATAGCAACAACAACTACAACAACCGTTGGACGGAGCATGTTGAATACATAGTCAAAAAATCACTCAAGTCTTTCAATATTCTTTTTAGACTAAGGCCTACACTCACCAGTGATTCTTTATCTCACATCTATCAGACATACATACTACCTATATTCTCATATGCGAGCAATGCTCTCACACCGTTGTCACACACTTCCCTTGACAGGCTAGAACGACTCCAGCGGAAAGCCGCCAGAATATGTCTCCACCTTCCCCTTTACACACACTTAGAACACTCCCACCTTTTGCATCGCATCAAATGGCCAACATTATTTTCACGCTTTCAAGTTAAACCAAGAGTACATAACCCCCCAGAGTGTGCAACTCCACTATGGGTGCTGTCCCGACAGAATTTCAAGTTGACGTCATTTTGATGATGCAATGCGCACTGTACACGGATTATCAGACGAATCCGGAACCTGTGGTTGACCGAAGCCGATCGATCCTGTACAAATTATTGGAAAGAAAAACGTGTGATGCGTTGACACCCGTACACATGTTGTAAATCACTGGTGCAAGGAGCATTGCGTCATAAATAATGACGTCAACTTGAAATTCTGTCGGGACAGCAGGGTATGTAGGAGTTGCACACTCTTGGGGGGTTATGTACTCTTGGTTAAACATATACTCTTCGCGCATTCTCTGTGCCACAATTATGCCCCACCACATATACTCTCGCTGCATACTGCTAGCAACGTGCAACCTTCGTATAATACGTCGCTCTCGTACTTGGCACTTGCCAACTCCGCAGACTGACCGCTGTCTCCATTCTCCCCTGTACAAGGCCCTTCATTACTTTAATTGCTTGCCCGCCCAGCTTCGCGAAATCCCTTCTCGTACTCCCTTCAAATCCGAGATATCCCTGCTGTTGCACAACTCTGTATGCTCGTGTAGCGACCACCCCTGCCCGTACACTTAAGTACACAACTCTGTATGCTCGTGTAGCGACCACCCCTGCCCGTACACTTAAGTAGTCATTAATCCCTAGGCCCTGCCCACCCAATTCTTCCTCACTCTTTCTCCTTTCTTACACTATTATCTCTTATTGGCCACGGGCTATCGTGAGAATAAAGATTTGAAACAACAACAACAACCGCACTGATTGCCATTGCAGCCAGCTACATTGAATGTGAGGCTGCGCTACAAAGAAGCGTCAATGCTGCAACAGAATGGCTAGAGCGCTTGCACCTGTTAGTCAATAAAACGAAAACTGTCATCCTCCCGTTCTTCCATGCTAAGTTGCTAACCGACCCCCACCACCACTGCCCAAAATAAAACTCGGATAAACTCTACTAGAAACAGTAACACAGCACCGTCACTTTGGAATAATATCCCAACATGACCTGCGCTGGACAAAACACTTTGATAGTATTATAGTGAAATCACTCAAGTCATTCAACTTGCTATTCCGCCTAAGATCAACCCTTACCACTTCTGTTCTTGCAACCATTTATACTTGACGCATCCTACCCCTGTACTCTTTTGCAAGCATCGCTGTAACCCCCATATCCTACACTAGCTTAGACAAGCTAGAGAGAATCCAGTGGAAAGCCGCACGATTACGCCTCCGCCTCCCTCTCTACACCCATATTAACCACTCTGACATTCTACACCGCATCAAGTGGCCCCACTTTCTTCTCCCTCGTTAAAGTTAAACACATAACGTTTGCTCACTCCATCCACCACCATTACGCCCAGCCTCATACTCTAATGCTCGTAACCACAAATCGTGTCAATACATTCTATAGCGTTTGGCACACTCGCACTTGGAATTTGCCAACTGCAAGAACCGACCACTGCCTGAGTTCCCCTGTGTATAAATCTCTCCATTATTTCAATGGCCTCCAATCAACGTTACGCGATATTTAATCGCCAGATGTGTTTGAGCAAAATATATCTTCCCTGCTGCTGCATTCAATCTGCTCATGCACGAGCCACGCTCACCCATACATCTAGTCTGATCACTGCTAGCCATGAAATTTCCGGATCATACTAATCTCACTATACACAAGGTAGAGTTTGGAAGCTTTGTCACAACTCCGAGTTTCACGTATCTCTACGATCATCAGGCAACTGATGGATCCAAAACGGGCAGCCAGAACATAAGGTCACTATATTATCTCTTATTGGCCACAGGCCATTGCGAGAATAAAGATTTGAAAGAACAACAGTGAAATAAGTCACCCATACATGATATAGAAGAATGACAAAAAAAGGTACAGATGCTAACTTACGCGTGCAACCAGTTGCCGGGGCGCCGGGTGTCCCAGAAGGTTGACAAGAGCAGGGCCCATTAGCACGAGTTGCTTGACAGGGTTTGCCCTTGGAACAAACACCGTTACTGTATGTGCATGTATCTGGAGCTGCAGACGTAGAATGAAACAAACAGAAAGAATGGCAACATTCAAGATGCAAACTGCTCAACCACCCAACAGTGTACTATCTCCTGCCACTGCAAGTGTTGGCCTTGACCTTTACGAAGTCACATTTGGCACTGCGCTGCGCTTGGGGTTCGCTGCTGCAAACGGACTGTGCGGGTTGCGCTACTGCTGCGTGCATGTGTGCATGCATAATATAACCAATTCTCTCCCCCCCCCCCAAACCAATTCTCTTCCAAACATTCTTGGCTTTTTTTCTAAATACAGGTCGTCCCCCGTTAATACGAGTCCGGTTAGTACATAAACCCCGTTAGTACATAAGAAATCTCAAGTCCCGGACGAAACGTGGTCACTTCCATACAAATTTTGTCGGTTAGTACATAATTCGTTAGTACATAAACCCCGTTAGTACATAACATTTCTCCGTACCCGCATGCCACCGACCTCAATAGTACATAATTTTTTGATCTTTTGGCCTTCCTGTTGAGGCACATCGTGTTCTAGTTTCTACTTGTGGACGCAATTAGCTCAGAAATCAGAGTGCACATCGCAAACCGACAAAGCTCTGTTTTTTTTCGAGTGACTGTACAGGCGCGGCTGGGCATGTATCATGCAAACTGTAGAATCTTTGCTAACTGTGACCGTTAAAACATAATTTTTATGTTATATCGAGGGAATCAAGAATATCTCGCTCCCTACGAAGTCATGGTAGCAAGAAACACTCAGAAAAGTTGAAAAAAGTGAAAAATTCTGGTACACAAGCAAGCTATGTACACTTTCGTTTAGTACATAAACCCCGTTAATACATAACATTTGTTAAGTCCCAGAGATTATGTATTAACGAGGGACGACCTGTATAGCAAAAAGCAGTATTTGGCTTTTTGGCCACCGCTTTAGGAGCTGCATCTGCGCCGTAATCTTTGAAGGGTGGTGGCGTTCCTACGGATGCGGAAAGCCCGGCTAGCTTCCAGCCGAGTCTCACGCGAACCGTGACATTTTTTAAATATTAATTACTACGCACGTACGCGTGCACGTGTGCGCAGCGCTGCATCCTTTGGAACGCGTCTTGTATTAGAATCTACACGCGCGGCGGCGTGCTGGGTGTTTGTTTGAAACAGAAGAAATAAATAATTCAGTGTGGTCGCAAGTAAGTTAGTCAGGTCACCACACTTGAAGAGTCTTTGGAGCTGTTTCCTCTCAAAATGTCGTCTTCTCGAAAAAGGAAAGCGTCTGGCCAGCTCACTATCAGCGGACTTTTTCGTGTTTTCCTGTGCAAAATGTTTCCTGTTCAAAATTCCTGTGCACCCCCTTGTGAAGGGGTCCGGTGACGCCCCTGGAGAGAATGCCCCAAGGGCCTCTTACGTTGCTACTTGCTATACTATGCTGTCTGCAGAATTCACGCCTGATTATTAGTATCACATCTTTACATTATCACCAGTTTAGTTTTTCACAGTGTTTTGCACTTGGCTATTTTGCTTAGCCCTAATCTTCGTGCCTCAGGTGCACGCATTATGCTTACCCCTTTCAGTACAAAAGGGTGACAGGGGCGTCGGAAGGTAATTTAGTGTGGTACGGTCAGCCATCTGAACTACAATTTACTCGTGGGGGAGGGATGGCTTAGCCGAAAGTTTTGAAAATTTAGAGCCCAAATCAGTGGATATAATGGATTCACGGGGTACTTGGGCAAAGTAGTGGTACGGTCAATACCGTAGTGACCGTACTGTGTGCGACGCCCCTGGGTGATTTTCACTATCTTAGTCATTCTACTATAGCTACCTTCACTAGCGAGAGTTTTATACTCGAAAAAGTTGACATGTATGAAGGAATTCAGTGTTGTACTCGCGGCTGCGCTTGTAGCGCTTCATTGTACATGCGGCTGCGCCTGTAGCTCTTCATTGTACATGCGGCTGCGCGTGTAGCTCTTTGTCGTATATGCTGCTGCGTTTGTGTCTCTTTGTCCTACATGCTGCTGAACCCTGGTACACGCTGCTGCGCTGTCTTTGACTCCTGTGTACATGCGGCTGCACCGTCTTTTGTCTCCGTTTTATACAATTTTTCTCGTCTTGTCCCTGTTGTATGCTTTCATAATAATTATAATTATTCTCGTGTCTCGTCTGTTCTCGGTGTCAGATGTCAGTTTTCTTGTCGTCTCCTTAGCCCTTTATGTACCGCGCCTCTAATGTATTTAAGGGGTCCCCCGCTCCACATATACACTCATATCTCAAGACCGACAGATATTTTGTATGGACATGTTTTGTTTTTCTGAAAGTAGATGGATGAAGGCTTGCAGAGAAGCAATAGTCAAGACCAGATCTCAATTGGTGTTACAGCGGCATGTCCTGAAAATTGTCAAAAAGTGTGAAAATTGCAAAAAAACAAGAAGTCCTGACAGCACAGCCAAGGCTATATCAAATTATACAGTTATGTTTGTACACCAGTCATATTTCCAATATAATACACTCACGGAATAGTGTTTTACTCAGCATGATAAGCTGCAAAGCAATTACGCTCTGAATTTAGGCAGAAATGAGCGGAATTGTTTTTTGCGGTTCTTGCACACTGAACACGCAAATTTGGACTTCGGTGGATCGATGCCTTTGCAAACCACACAGTTTCTGCTCTCTTCAGTAAACACTGGTAGATGTGGTCAGGGGCGGATCCAGGAATTTTTCAGGGGGGGTTCAAATTTTTTCGAGTGCACAGAATTAAATTCGCTTCAAACTGTTTTCGCCAAATTTCGGTTCGTTCAGTACACCGAGAGTTGCAAAATCTTTATTGTCACGGTAGCCCTTGGCCAATAAGACAAGGGTAATGCGTTTACAAATGGTTTAGAGCCTTACAAAGTACAAAGCTGCAGCACAGGCAGAAACTAAGGCGGTGACTGCAGCATTTTCCGAACTGACGGAAAGCGAAGTTCTCTGACTGTCCTCCGGCTGGGACTCCGTGTCGTCACATTCGCGCCGTACACGGCGGAACGAAGCCAAGCTCAATGGCAACTGATCGGCCGCTCGCCTCTTTGGCAGACGTCGCGACATGGCAAACTACACGACAAACACAAACATTATCTTCGTACTGCCACGGAGGAAACGGCCTACAGTCAGAGCCAGCGCGAAATAAAACAAAACGACAAGGAAGGTAAGGAGGACAAGTGGCAGTTTTTCCACCTTTTGCTCCACCGCGACATGGCAAACTACGCGACAAACACAAACAATATCTTCGTACTGCGACGGAGGAAACCTACAGTCCAGCCAGCGCGAAATAAAACAAAACGACAAGGAAGGTAAGCTAAGGTCAGGAGGACAAGTGGCAGTGTTTCCACCTTTTGCTCCACCACTTGAACTGTCGATCGTTTCAACTTTCAAGTCACATGATACTCGTACAGCTCAGACACTTCGATTCGAACGGTACGCGTACAACAGTCCCGACAACTCCATGCATGCAGTGACCTGCACTGCCTGTGGATCTACGTGACTCGTACTGCATGCAGGATGCATGCCAGTGAAGTCTACTGCCACAGTACTGGCTACGCGGTGCGCTACACTTCGCTGGCTGCGCACTTGGATACCATGGATACTAGTACTCGTACCACAAAAAAATCGACTGGACCCATGGTCGAAATTATTTTAGGGGGTTCGTCCGAACCCCCTGAACCCCCCCTGTATCCGCCCCTGGTGGTGGTGGTTTTACTACAGGCTGTGGCCTTGCCGATTCGTTATACAGTGGAACCGGCGTGTCATGGTCAATATTACACAACTGCCGGATGATGGCCAGCCGGTCCTCTAACTGGGTCATGGTGTGGTCACCACCGAGAACACCTGGGTTCTGTCTAGACCAATGCTCATAAAGAATGAATCAATTGACAGCAGCTACCTCTACAAAATCAAGAAAATAATAATGTTTTCCAATATTTTTTCGTTTTTCTAAGTATACGAAACGAAAATACGAGTTGATCTAATTTATCAACACCGCCCATTGCCATATTGTATTCCTGTACTGTTGCTGGCTTCTTTACAGTAACATTATGTAGCTGACCATGATGTTTTATAGTTCTATTTTCATTCACATATTCCGTAGCACAGTGGATATTGGATATCATTGTCACACACCGTTTATCCATCCACTGCAGCTGCAGCAAGCTACCGTCCCATATATACCGCATATCGGACCACTGGGCGCGTCGCTGGTATAGTTTGACCGTTTCCCTCCAAGGCCAGAGCATGATAACATGATCCCACCAGAGACAGGTTACGCTGATGATGTTAACTTCCTGTCTCGTAAGTTATCTTGGCTCAAGGAAGTTTTGCCCGCGATAAGTGCCACACTCGGAGTCTGGGGTCTGAAAGTAAACGAGGCGAAGACAGAATGGATCCACTTAACGTCTGAAGGTGAAAGATGGAAGAAATCTAAACAGCTTGGGTCCTACTTGGGCGAGGGTGATGATATTGCTCACCGCATGGAAAACGCCTCGCAGGTCTTGGACAGGGTGTTCTCCCTATGGCTCCGGAGGGAGAAGGTATCAGAAAAGCGCCGGCTGAGAATATACAATGCCCTCGTGATCTCCACCCTCCTCTACAATTGTGAGACGTGGGGACTCACGGAGGGCAACCTGGCATCCCTGGACGTATTCCACAGGAAACAGCTACGCACAATTCTTGAAATTCGTCACCCAGACCATATAACGAATGATGCATTGTACAAGAGGTGCAGCTCTGAACCGATATCTGCAATTGTAAAGCGCCGCAGAACGCAAATGCTAGGGCACGTCCTTCGGATGGACCCCAATGCACCTGCCTTCAGAGCTATGACATGCTCCCTGAAGCGAGACGCTACCGGCCACCGTGGTAGACCGAAGACAACACTCGCCACCACGGTCATCAAGGACCTCCAAGAAAGGAACATCCCGTTGAAGAGTGTGGGGGATTTGGAAGAGGTTTGCACCACTGCCACTGACAAGAATCAGTGGCGTGCCATGTTCCGTCAGTAGCGGCTGCATTTT